TTAAGTTCAGGTTTGATCTTATTTATATAAAAAGCTTCTTTGAGTTTTAAATCAATTGAGTTGTTAGCAGAATCCAGAATACTAAAGCAAGAAAGGGAGTATTTGTTCTTACAAGAAGGAGATGTGTTGAAATGCTTAAAAATATGCGAGTTTTTATCGCTTTCCGTGTGCTCCTTTATCCTAGTAGAGAAGTGGCGACTAGTTTCGCCAATATAACGGGAATTACATCCCGCACAAGAAAATTGATAAACTACCATGGATTTTAGAGCATCAGGAGTACGATCTTTAACACTGAACATGTTTTTAATTTTAAAAGAAGTGAAAACTAGTTTGATATTTAGGTCCGATTTACAAAAGCACTTAGTGAGTTGTCGGAGTTTGAAGTTCGCTATTTTAGAATAATAGCCGACAAAAGGGAGTTTGAAGTAAGAAGTGAGAAGTTATGTGCACCTGTTTATCACTTCCAAAAGTTAAAGGGTTAAAGATCTTGTCATCCCTTTAACAATCAGGATCTGTTTTTGGCATTAAGTAAAGTGGACTACCAGTATTTCATTTATGTTGCAGGTTCCATGAGGGAATTAGATGTCATTGATGTCTGCAGACAGGTAAAAGCTAATTACTTCCCTAGATTATCTGCTCTTTCTCGGAATGAATTTGACATCTTGTACAGTATGCACACATCCACGCTTGTGTTATAACACCGACAGTGCTGCTTAGAAATACATTAACAAAAAAATGCACATAAAATTTACATAAAGTTGAGCGTAAGTGCATATAGATATAACCTATGTTCGACCAAATTGTGCATATATACATGCATGCATATGAGCATTGATAAATCTGTCTCTTTCTTATCGGTAGGGTACATGAATGTGCATGGATGATGCATGAGCTAGCTTATCTTTAGAAATCTAGTGCTGCTGCTCATTTTGAAATAATTATGCAAACCAATACCACGTAAATGCTGTATGTATAACAAGAGCACTTTTTTCAAAATATAAATTTTCCATTGTCAACTTGTTGCTTTTCAAATCCCAAAAGTCCTATGTTTTGCAAAACACCGTACATAACACAAAGGCAATGCCCAGCATTGAATAACAAAGATTCATCTTTGGCACATGAGTAGCACCTGCGCATCTAACAACCTGCATCTGTACAATTGAAATTGTTTGCACAGTTAACATATATCTGAGCAGTACTGTGATAATATTTAACTGTAAGTGGGATGAAACATTTTGATCCTGTTCATGCTCTAAGCTGACATTTTGCATTAGGTTGAAGGCTCTCTAAGAAAAATTGAAGGGAGCCCTGTGCTCTGAAACTGTGAAATCCAGAGTGGTCAGCATATGCTTTTTATGAAAAACTAAGATTCCTGAGTCACCCAAGAGAAAAAGTAAGGCACCAGGGGCCACCAGACGCTGCTAGACCACAGCCTTGGGTTTGTTGATATTAAAGATCTTTATATTATTGAGCTATTATTAAGCAACTGTTGGACTCAGTTGGGTTAGTGGATAGGTGTAATTGTCTGAAAAAATTGCAGGAGGATCGTCGTATGCGCATGAGAGAATGGACTGAGTATTACATGAGCCCTGTCAAGAAAAAGATTTTGAATGTTATCAGTTTGGAGTTCTCGAATACAAGGTATGGGAATTTTTCTGTATAATACATGTATACATTAATCAGTTTTTTCCCCTTCCTTTCTACCAGTGACCAATTACTTCTTTGAGGAAAATAATTGAATCAGCAGTGCTATAAAAGGGCATTGTGTAACTTACTAATTGGTGTGCTTCTGTACTCTTAAAAAGTCTCCTACTTGATCAGAATGATTTATTTTACCTGCTCCTAGGAATCCTTTACCATACAGAAGTGATCATCTTAAGAAAAGTTTGTCTCGTGATGTAAATTAAAATTTTTAAAGGATAAGTTATTGACCTTAACTTTACGATCAAATTTGGAAAATAATTCTCAGTAGTTTAGAAACTAATACCATCTCATGTACAGAACTGCTAATTTGTATACATGTTTATGGCAAATATAACCACCATATACTAGCTGTAAGTAGACATCAAATATGCATCATAGATAAGTTTGCCAACCAGCGATCAGGTTGGTAATTATTATAATGTATTGAATGTTGTTATCATTTCACCAAACTGATGTTACTCTGGGCTTATCTTTTTCCAGTTTGTCGCCTCTTGTTCATGCTCCAGCCATTGTGCGAGATATTGATTGGGCCAGTCATGTGTGGCCAACAGATCTTCCTGATGACAGGTAGGGTTACATGTAACTCTCACATTTGATTGAGTCAGAATTTCTCCTTACCATATCAATAAAATATCAAACAGACAAGCAATGAGTATTGATCAGTGGTTATTGGTTGATCTAATACCAAATTCACCATACCAAAATCATAAGAATTGTATGGCAGACAGTAATGAGAATTACCAAATGAGATCTTGGGGGTGAGAGTGTTGACCCCTGGAGTGATCAGCATCTAATTTCTCCTTACAGTAACACTGCTGAATCATTCATTAAGGTCATGAGAATAAAGGAAATGATCGCCAAATTACATCTGTAAGAAACTTTGATTGTTAAACAAATTCTCCTTGTCAGAAGCTTGGATATGTATAGAGAACAGTATGAAGAATACATATACTGATCTTAGGGTTTAAAGGGCAACCTTGTTCCCAGGGCCTTTTCCCTTTTCCCTTTTCCCTTTTCCTGTCCCACCCTTAACTAAAGGAGAAGGCCCTGTCGAAACAAGGTTGTGCAAAGGGTCAACTTTTCAGGTAACCAGCACAACAGGGGAAATTTTGGTGAAAATCATAGCTGCCATCTTTGATTTTGCCATCTTTGATTTTTTCTGCTGTGGAATTCTGGACAGAGAAATGAATTTGCACCAAGGGGATAAGTGACCATCAAAAGAGAGAGGGGAGGGGGATGGGGTCAATTTCCCTCACACCCTCCCTCCACTTTCCACTCCAACTCTAAATTGAACATGGCGGTATTATGAACAATCCCAAGCTTGTAGGGTTAATGCACCATAAAAGTATTGCAACCCACCTCTCAGAAAAGGTAAAATTTAATACATGTACATGCTGTATATATCAGAGGGCAAACTATGACAGGATCCACATGTTTTTACTTTCCTTAACAGCCCACACAAGAAGCCTTTGGTACAGAAATACTGTTTAATGGGTGTGAAGAATTCATACACAGATTTTCATGTTGACTTTGGAGGCACCTCAGTGTGGTATCATGTTTTGAAGGTCAGTGAAGATAAACATGGGTATCTGTTGTTCAAAGTATTTGCTAAAAGAGCCTTGAGGAAACTCAGTATTATCTAAAAAATCAGCAATTGTCTAGAATTGAAAAAAGCAGATATGAAAGCTATGTGGAGGAAAAAAACTTAAATTTTAACACTTGAAAAATGATCACACTCCCTGTGGGGAAGATTTGGACGTCTGTCAGTACCTGAGCACACCCTCCCCTCTCCCTAACCCAACGTTAGTAACCCTAACTTGTTATCAGTTGACTGTTATTCGGTTAGGGGAGGGGAGGGTACGCAGTTGCCTAGATACTGAGATTGATCCAATTTTTTTTTTATGAGCCAAATGATCGAGATAAATGGCATCCATTTATAAGAATTGTATTTTAAGAGAGGAAAAAAGGTAAATGAAGAACGGAATTTAGCAAAAGAAGAAAAAAAGCAGCAGAAGAATATGATAACAGAAGGCATAACAGGGCGTAAAATTACCTTTTTTTTCCGGTAGCCACTTGGCTCCTAAATATTTTAAAGTGGTAGCCAATTCCAAATAGGTTGGTGGCCATTATGACACACACACACACAAAAAAAAATTTTACCCTGTCACTGTAGTAGATAGATTATCATATCAGTGATACAGTCATACAAACATCAAAAATGAGCCCGCAAAATTCGCACAAGCTACAAAGAGGACACTAGAATGGATCATATACAACGTTATAGGTTACCTAAATGCAATATAGCGTCTAGTGACGATAGATTTACGTTCGACATCGTGCATGTGCTGCGTTTTGGTAACGAGCTTAACGAGGAACTTTGGTGCAGATTTATCTTATCTAATCTTCAACAATCACTAGATCTCTAGCTAAGGTGTGATTAGAAATTCTAGTCGCCAATTTGGCGACTAATTTTCAGGATTTGGTCGCCAAAGTGAAAAACTTAGTCGCATTGGCGCCTGTATTAGGCGCAATTTTACGCCCTGCATAATGTTGTTTAACCAATCGATTTAACTTAATTCTTGTAAAAGAAAACTTAATCCTTGGACTACCCTGAGTGATCAAGGCAGAATTTCTCTTTACAGTATCAATACAATATCAAACAGACAAGTGATGAGAATAAAGGGAAATATCATTTTGGGAACTACTTCTTGTAGGTGATCCAATTAAAAAATTCTCCAAACTAACATCATAAGAAATTGCAGACGGCAAGGAGAATTAGTAATGGGATCTTGGGAGTGAAAGTGTTTGAATCACATCGTTCAGGTGTTTATGTTGACAGGGAATTAGTTTGCGTAGATTTTGATCGAACTTTTTCTTCCTTATTCAGGGTGAAAAAGTGTTTTACTTTGTGGAACCCACTGAAGAAAATTTCAACCAATATGAAAAATGGGTTTCCTCTGCTCGGCAAAGTGAGGTGTTCTTTGGGGACATGGTAAAGAACTGCTACAAGTGTTCAGTGAAGCCTGGGCAAACCATGTTCATCCCAACAGGTGTGTATTTAATGAGGCAGCCTCTTACAGGCGTTCTGTTTGCAAAACGGAGTGAAATAAACGAATCACGCGATAGCGGTGGAGCGGAAAACAGGAAGCTGGTTTTGTTGCGTAGCGGCAACACAGTGGTTAAACGTCTGCGCGTGTGCGAACCTTGTGAGGACTACATGAGGGTGGCGTACTATCAGGTATTCAGAACCAAGTTGTCTCGCTCGATGTACAAAAAACCCGGCACACAAGTCGGTAAGTCACTGTGTTTGAAAAGCGCAGAACATTTTGAATAAGCTTTGTATTCGAAAGGTCTCGTGTTTTCTTTTTCCCTACTTTTTCCCCTTTTACAGATTTCGATGAGCGTTTCATTCTTCATTCACCTATTTTGCGAGACAGTGGTTGTTTCTTATGTTTTTCTTTGAAATTTTGCGCAGGAAATTGGTGCGCGGCAACCAGAATGATACCCTCGTGCATGCCCGACGTTTAACTGCTGTGTTGGTCGCTTAATCAGGACTATTGAGTAACGAGATCCAAGGCGTAGAGTCCATGTAGGACACCAGAGTACATGTACTGCAAATTGTTTCAGATGAATGTGGTTTATCAGTGGTTAGAATAACTTTTTTTTCATAAGCGGCTGCCATAGGCGGCTGTGCCGTAAGGGGAAACCCGGACACGAGAGCCCGCTCGCAGGCTCAACAGACGGAGGTCGACCGCTGGTAACCGGCTTTTATTTTAAACTCCTGAGTCACTCTGTGTGAGGTGAGAAATACGTTTACCAGCGAAATGTTTTCATCGTGTCAGGTTGGGTTCATGCAGTATTTACACCAGTTGATTCACTGGTGTTTGGAGGGAACTTTCTCTGCACTTACAACACTGAACTTCAGCTGAGGTAAGTCTAATGCTTTTAAATGATCTCACTAGTAATTCTCCCTTCTGCCTCCTCAACATTTTTTTTTTAAACCTCGGAAGAGAATTTGATGTTATATCTAGAGAACAACCATCCCACTGATACTTTCGTCTCTTGTCGTCGCCCGTTTTCTGAATAATATGTCGGAAGTATGAGAAGTTTTGTGTTAATCAATTAATCGTTGGTCAATAGTGAAATTCTTGTAAAGCTGAGCTCGGCGTTAACTCTTTAACCCCAAGATCTGATCGTGAACTCCAACCCCCCRCCCCCGCAGCCACACGTTTCCTTGTAAATTAGTTGCAAGAATTTGTTTTTAAATCAAGATGATAACTTCTGCCGGATGAGTTTGATTATTCTCATTACCTGTTTGCTGTACAATGTATAGTTATCAACGGGAGAAGTTACATGTTAATCTCTCTTGGAAGTTAAAAAAGTTAAAATATGATGTGCATATTCTTGGTTGTATTCTTAGGGTCTATAAACTTGAAAGACAACTCAAGACACCTGATAAGTTCCTTCATCCGTGTTTTGAGTCAATTAATTGGTACGCGGCAGTGTATTTACTCGACAAGATAAAAGGTAAGGAAACGGTTTATATTCACTATTTTGTTTTTAGCAGTCTCTAATACGACCATTGAACTGTTAAGGTCAACACTGCGCGAAAGGAAAGTGATAGTGTAACCCAAAGGGCCGGTTATTTAAACAAAGTTTAGTCGTTGTTTGATAAAACCGCGTCCTAAACATTCCTCAGTTTAGCTGGACCTTTTTTCCTGAAAATTTATTCTAGTGAACGGTGTCAAGAGGGCCGAAAGCTAACATAGGGAGGACATATATTTTATCAGCCCACTTATAGAGAAAGTGCGAGGCCCACTGACTGCGTCAAACCGTGATTTGGGTTACACCTCGTGTAAATAACCGGCCCGAACTCTTACCAGAATGGTAAAACATCAGGATATCGTAGTTGATTAAGCCGTGTTAGGAAAGTCTCGAGTTTTCCTTTTCCTAACTTTTCTTTCCTTTTACAGATTTCAATGAACGTTTCAATTTTCTGTCGCTTATTTTGCGAGACAGCGGTTGTTTCCCGTATTTTCCTCAGAAACTTTAAGCGGGAACTTGGCGTTCGACGCTTAACATTGATCCCCTCGAACATGCCCGGCATTTATCCGCTGTGTCGACCGACTTACACTACATGAGTCTTCCAGCCAATATCATTACAGCGAAACTGACCAATCAGTTTACACAAACTAGACTTACAACACTCGACTCACACACAACTTTTCATTCGTCTCTGATGATAAGCGTCTACACTTTCAAATATCTTTTGTGTTTTTGTGTTATGTGGCACAGCTGTCCATGAAGCAGGCAGAAAACCGCCTGTCAGTGTAGTTCAGAGTTTAAACAGTCTCGTCGGAGCACTTAAGGAGTGGAGCAGAAAAGGAGAGGTGAGGCTGCAGTCATTATTTGTGTAAAAGGAGTAAGTTTGTGAAAAAAAACTGTGGTGCTGCGTCGGTGTGGGGTATTACAAGAAACTTTGGTTTTATAAACTGAGTTGATAATGTTAATTGGCCACCTACGGATTTTCTAAAAGCTGACTTTTCGAGTGCTAGCCCTTGGTCAGACTGAATAGAGGAATTTTGGGTTGTGTGTGGGATATCTACGGGAAAATGAAGCTTTGCTATTGGTGGGAACACGGTAACATGAAAAACACATGTATAAATTGGTCGATTGAAAAGCGTTTGTTGATACTGTGAGAATTAATAGTGCTGATTTAAAAGAAAAACTTTTGCTAGTCGTGTTTTGCAATGCAGGGAAAGACCGCAGACTATATCCCTACAGCTAGGCTGTTCTGAAGGCCGCAAAACTCTAAAACAAAAATGTTTCTTATTAAATACCCAGTTGTTATGCAGCTATATTTGTCCTCAATCGAACAGGCATTCACGAAGCTTCACAAGTTCTTCATTCCTGACAGTGTATCGCCGAGCAAACTCATCAAGTCTATCGCTAAAGAACTGAAAAAGACCGAGGTTTGTCAGCTTTACTTGTGTTTAGAGCAATTTTCAGTTGAGAGACGAAAGCAAGCCAGGCTTTCATTCTTTTTCTTTTCTTTACCGCTTCTTTGAAAAGTCAGAAAATTAGAATTATTCACTTTGTAGTCTATTAAGCCCGTTCCAGGCGTTCAGTTTGTAAAACTGAGAGCGATAGTTGCGGCAGAGCGAAAACTGGGGAGGTCTGGGTCGGGTCACGTAGAGAAGCGACGCGGCCCCAACCGTCCCTCGATTTTTCACTCCGCTACCGTCTTTTACCATCGCGCTTCGTTTGACTGAGTGAACATCTAAAACAGGCCGTAGTCTACGGTGTTTTCCATTGTTGGAAGCAGTTTGCTTGTCTTTATGTTGAGTTCACAATGGTTTTCTTTGTTCTGACGGCCGTACCGTTTGCTTTTGTTTATTGGTTTTACGTCAAACGATCGAAAAGCGCCATAGAGGGGGCGTATGTTTCTTATTTATCTACTTCCACTATTTTTTTAAACATTTATATTTTTCTTTTAAACCTTCAGTTGTTACATTCAAGACCTTTGCTGTACGAAAGCCTGTTATATGTTAAGGCTTTCCACCCGATGGAATTCCAAGAAAAAATTTTTAAATGTACGTTTGATATAATAAAATAATTTTAAATTCATTTTAGAAATCTGGAAAAACTTCAAGGCCTTCAACTCCTAAAATTGACGAGAACTATCAACAGGGAAGTGGGAGTCCTGTGTCTGCGCCGTTGGTTGACGGGTCTGTGCCACGCCTAAAAATCAAAGCTCCAAAACCAGACAGCAAAAATGTTTATAGTCCTAAAAATACCGGAGAATTTTTAAAATGTGAGCTGGATGACAATAAGCCCGTGATAAGAATAGCAAACACTGGACCAGATTTAAAAAGAAAAGCTGATCCACTTTCAACAAGTCTTCCCTCGCTTAAGCTGAAGATTCCGCGAACGCAGGAACAATTAGCTGCCGAGGTGGAGTCGCATGGCGACAACGTGCAGCTCAGTGCTCCTGTAGACTCTAGTCTCAAGCTTGTTGTATCCAATGGGAAAATTATCAAGTAAGTTCCTTAAATGCAGCCGGCATTATTATTCAACCTCTCTGTTTGGTGGTGGTGGTGTTTTTTTTTTTCCATCTCCGACTTTTTATTTTCTTGTTTTGAGTATAGCGGGACAATTCCTTTCGAATGTGGTAAGTAATCCGAGATTGCATCGTGATTGGTCTAAAATGCTCGCGCTACTCAACCAAACAAAATGCAAGACTGAGGCCAAGTGCGTCTTTCTCACTCGCGATTTTCCCGCGCCTCAGACAGTTTGCTTACAAGTTTTTGTATTGGGTCCTCATTGGCTCTTTATGACATTTTCTATTCTGATTGGCTGTTGAGATAGTTTTGAATTTTTATTCTACAACACTCTAACATACTTTTTTTTACTTAAGAGTTTGAAAGAAATTGATTCCTAAACAGATGATAGCTGTGGGAATTTTTTCAGGTTCGCTATATTATTCTTTTGTGTTAAAGACGATAACTTTTTGCCAAAGTTCTGCTGTTTTTTTCTTTCGCAGTAATAACAATCGCAGCAGTAGAAAGATAGCCGGTAAGAAATTTCAGCCGCTGTCTCAAGAGATGTCAGACCGAGGCGATGTCCCGGATGGTTCATACTCTTGTTCTCCGTCCAAGCAAGGACCGTTGCGGCTGAAACTTTCGAGTAAGTTTTTATGTTTGTCCTTTTTTAAATTGCAACTCTTGACATGAGCCTGTTTCAGGCAGGCAATTAGTTTGTGAGGGCAAGATGAAGAAGCAGAACGAACGAGAGAAAAATACTCTTCTCCAGACCCTCGCAGATTTTCCTTGAAGAAACATGAAGATCATCCTCGGAGACCCAGGGGCTGTGAGTCGATTTCAAGTTACGGCGGAAGAGCCCCTGGGGACATTGTCTTACAAGACAAGTTCCAAACGGTCGCAGTCGTTCTGGCATCTGATTGGTGCCAGAAAATCTTTGTGTTTTTCTGCCCAATCAGAGTGAAGTGTGCTTTGGAATCCTTTCGTGTGTTTTTAAGACGGACATATACAAGAAGCTTAGTTGCTCGCCATGATGGTTTGGACCTTACGACGGAGCTTTGCTCGAGGTGAAAAGTTTCAGTCTTAGCACACAACGTAAGAGAAATCGATCAGATTGTCCGCAAAAATCTTACCGGAAATTATACTGAATACTTTCGCAGGTATCACAAGAGAACGTGTTTAAAAGTTTGCGAGGTTCGTATAAAACACGATGGTTGCAGGCGTTGATATGTCGCTTTAAACGTTAAACGAGATGTAAGCTTAAGTCTTTCTAGATTTTTTGTATAATTTGCTGTGAAACTTTGCCAATTCCGTGAAGTTATTTCGTCGCACGGGCCACGTTGGTATGTCGAGAAACTGGCGTTTACGCAGCTTTCCGTGCGCGCCAAAATCTGATTTAATCTTAACTTGAAAAAAAAAGGAAAGCTAAGCGTGAAAACTTTTGTTTATTAGATGTGGGTAGATCACCCTGTACTAAGCTGACATTTACAATAAAGCAAACCCGCCCTTTCCATCCAATATTTCTAGGTCTTTATTTTTGTTTTCCCCAATGAAAGCAGTATCGATTCCCAATGATCAAAGGTGTTTAACTTGGTCTTTCACAATCGACAAAAGAGGTGAAATGACAATGACCAAGGGACTAGAAGAGAATCCGTGGCCTTTCGAGCTCAAGAATTTGAAAACTCCAGGCAGCAGTTGAAACATTAAGCTCTTTCTAAACCCCGTCGGTATCTGTCCGAAAACATCTCTCCTTCCCACGATGTTCTCGATGATAGGTTTTTGTTCAGATTTTAATTCGTTAACCGGAAACACAGGTAAGCTTTCTGTAAGCGCTTGCTGGAGGTCGTCCACGAACTTAACGTTCTCTGCAATCTTGGCCATATTGTGAAAGACTTTACTACAAAGCGAAGATTAGGTTTTGGCGCGCACAGAAAGCTACGTAAGCGTAAGCGCCAGTTGCTCGACATCCCTGCGTGGCCCGTGCGACGAAATAACTTCACAGGATTGGCAAAGTTTCAGTAAGAGCAAATCAAACAAAAAATCTAGAAAGATTCAAGCTTACATCTCGTTTAACGTTTAAAGCAACATATTAACGCCTGTCACCATTGTGTTTTATATGAACCTCGCAAACTATTAAACACGTTCTCTTGTGATACCTGCGAAAGTATTCAGTATAATTTCCGGTAAGATTTTTGCGGACAGTCTGATCGATTTCACTTACACTGTGTGCTGAGACTGAAACTTTTCACCTCGTGCAAAGCTCTGTCGCACAGCCCAAAATTACATGGCGAGCAACTGAGCTTCCTATATATGTCCGTGTTAAAACACACGAAAGGACTCCAAAGCACACTTCACTCTGATTGGGCAGGAAAACACAAAGATTTTTTGGCACCAATCATTCCTTTATTTTTATTCCTTTATTTCTTTGTTCAAATGGCGTTAAACTTAACATAATCAACCACTACCCACAAATAGCATAGCTAGTCTCGGCGGGCAGTGTGTGGACGCTAAAACATCTTACATAGATTTCGGTTCAACAAAAGATTCAATAAATATACAAGAAACAGAAATTAAATATTAAATCATTAATTTAAAAGCAGAAATGACAGTATGAGATAAAAATACAGAAATAGAAACACATGACAATAAATAGAAGAATACATAAGTTATACACTATTATTAACTGGATTTAACTTTTGACACATCATTGATTTTTCGTTCTACGTCAACATAACTATCTTGAACTTGAAGATTTTGAAATAATATTGTTGTTAGCTTTTTCTTGAAATGCCAGAACCACTGCGACCGTTTAGAACTAGTCTTGCAAGACAATGTCCCCAGGGGCACTTCCGCCCTAACTTGAAATCGACTCACAGCCCCGGGGTCTCCGAGGATGCATGAAGATCAGAGGAGTTTTTCTTTTTTCGCCCAGCTGCTGTTAAAAGGGGAAGGGAAGAGTTGGTGGGAAGGGAGGGGAGTACCCTGGCGCGCCTTACTTCGGTCCAGAGGTCTGTAACCGGGTGATATTTTTGTCTTTTCTTCTTTGGCAAGACGTTCTAACGGTTCCACGCTCCACCTGGTAGTATTGACCACATGCTAAAGTATGGACTGTAGGTACATTTTTAGATGATCTTTTCCATGATTTCTTCCGCAGACTTACTTTCAAAAGTAGACGTACACGAAGTTGCCACGGAAAAAATCTCAGCTTCAACTCAGTTGTACATGGACCGTTACATGCAATTTACATTTCTCTTACAAATCCTCCTCTTATTATTCTACAGTGAACAACATGCCCAAAAAGAACGCCCCTTCCTACCCCACCCACACGACAGAGAGTAGCAGCGACAACTCAGATAATGAACTGAACTTTAGTCTCGGGGGAACTCCCAGCTTCGTCCCTGCGCAGTTAAGAACAACGCATGGAAGCCTGGCGACAACGTTTGGGCTGCAGTCCACCGGATCAGCTTCCCGGATTCCACAACCTGTGGCCGGTTTGGACTGGACCTCAGCAACTGATCTGAAGTAAGAGTTGGCACGCACCGTAAAATTAGTTCGATACCAGATCCCTTCGTTTAAGTTAAGAGAGCTTGGGTCGGTGTTTACATCATTAGGTTACATCATTAGGTTACATCATATCAGTAGAACAAATGGAGGTCGAGCTTTTGAGAGCGTGACGTTGATCAAAATAATTTTTTCCCTTTCATCAGGGAGGAAATCGAAGCGGCGAAAACCCTCTTGTTCGGTCTTAGTGCTGGCGCTGGTGTTAGTCCACTTCAATCTTCTTCTACTCAATCTATCCCCAGTACCTATCGGAAATCAACTGGTGCTCAGTCTTCGCAGTCCACTGTAGCACACAGTACATCCAAGTTGAACTCCAAGCGTGCAGGAGGCGAGAGTAACTCTGAGGGCGAAGACGAAGATCTTGGATTTGGTGACTCGGAATATTTTCACGACAGTAAATATGGTAAGAAAATAAATTAGAGTTTGTGACGAAGGAAACCGTTAATGTAAACACGGCAAACAAAGAAAAACAGCTCTTCGTTATTGATAACTACCGGAACTTTCGAGAAAATAGCAGTTCATGCTCTTAGTGCATCAATCTGACAAAATGCTTGTTTAAGAGAAGAGCAATTTTCAATTGTGTATCAAAAGTAGTCCAGGATTGCACTGACTGAGGTCTATGACTGGCCAGAAAATTCGCGCCTTTCTCTTAACCGATCAGATACAAATTTAAATCCAATGGCGACTGGGTCACCCGCGTTTTCCCGCGTTTTCCCGCGTTTTCCCGCGCTTTGCCGCACCCTGGGCAGTTTACCTGTTACTCCTTTCTCGTAGACTCCTTGTTTACGATTGGTCCGGAAAACTCTTGCCTTTCTCTTAACCAATCAGATGCAAATTTAAAAGCAATCGCGACTGGGTCACCCGCGTTTCCCGCGTTTCAGGCAGTTTACTTCAAATCACTTTCTCTTAGACTCCTTGTGATGATTTCCTTTGTTCTAAATGTTTTCTCTATTTTCTGTGTAGTATATCCACCACTCGCTGAGATGACAGAAGAAGACAAAAATAATTCATGGAAGCCCGGCCAACGAAAGAAAAAAAGCGAAAAAGTAGATTCGACGTGGAATCCGAAAAGTGAGTCACTCGAAGGGTTTTGTACAACTGAATTCGCATAAGGCTACCTTCAGAGAACCCTGTTGGTTGTGTTCAGCTTAGTCGTATTTGCCCAGGTGTTCAGCTAAAATCTCGGTGTTCGGTCACGCTGAAGTTACGCAATGTCACGTTCAAGCCAACAAGCAAGGGTTAAGTACAATTTCCATGTTTTGTTTCTCAGGTAAATTACTTTGTTCGCCATCGCGGGAAGTGAGGCCAATTCGTCAAACATCCAGAAGAAGCACTACTGGTAGTTTGCTGAATTCACCATTGGAGGAAAGTGCTCCTGAGGTGAGTTGAAGAAATGCTACCGAACTTTCCTTTTTTTGTTTTTTTTTTTGTTTTTTTCAAGTTTGTCAACTCGAACATACCTATAATCTTTCTTTATTGAAGACAGCACGAATTATTTGCATGTAGCCCTCGTGAAAAACATGAAAAAAGTAAAAAAATTTAGAAGAATAAAATTGCTATATAAAATGTTTTATAATATATCGATGACTGCAGAGTTATTTTGCAATGGATACAAAGACAATCAAGTGATATGGTTTTATCAACTGAGTTGATAAATGTAAATTTGCCACCATAAAGAGTTTGAAGGTGACGTATCGAGCATTAGCCCTTCGCCCTTCGCTCTAACCAAGGGCTAATGCTCGAAACGTCATTTTTGAAACCCTTTACGGTGGCCAATTTAAGGTATCAACTCGGTTGATAAAACCAAAATTTCCTTGTCACCCCCACTGACGCAGCATCACAGTTTCTTTAGAAACTTACTTCCTTTATTTATTTGTCAAAAATTATCTAGCCTAGTGGGGTCGTTTTTTCCTAAGTTCGTTGATAAGTGAGCTTAGGGAGGAGCATATTCGTCCATACTGTTCAGTACTGTCACTCTTGCGAAAAATTGATGATTTGTGGTATTTTATAATTAGAGAGATTTAGCACCGTGTTTACGTGAAACGTGAACGGTAAGAGTGACCACGTGACCTGGTTTTTCCCGCCATTTTTTCACGTTTGCCGGTTGCGCTTTGCTGTTTCTACATGAATATAAACAGTCTCGCGTTTGCCATGCCAATTTTTCTCTCACAGAATAGAAGTTAATTGCCGAAAAAAGGGTACCAAAACTATTCCATGTAATTAATACAATGGCGCCCTCAAATCCACCATGACGTGCGCTCACGCGAAGCTAAAGCTGCAAGGATCACGCTATTTTATTTTTTTTTATTTTATTTTTATTTTTTGAGAATTCCCAGGTTGCGGCGAGCTGACGTTTGCCGTTTCACGTAAACGCGATGCTAAATATCTCTATTGTTGATTGAATTACGCCAATTCTCTGTTTTAAGAGACCATAGTTCACTTTGATTTTCGTGTGAACCCTTCGACCCCAAAGAGTGATTAGCATCTGGTTTCTCGTTACATAATCACCCCTGAATCACACATTAAGGTTATGAGAATAAAGGAAATGATCATCAAGTAAAGAAGCTACTGATTGTTAAACAGATTCTCCTTGTTATCACCTTAGAAAATGTTTAGAGAACAGTATGGAGAATATGCATACTGAAGTTAGGGTGTAAAAGAGTTGAACAGTCTTTATTCAAACTTTTTCCTTTGATTTAGTTTGGGATTGCGGTGAGGTTTTAGTAGTCACAGTCTCGCAATTTATCATTTTCAGGGACCTACTCCTCCCGGTGAAAGTGCTAAAGGAAGTGATCGAGGAACCGCCAGCGGAAGTAATTCAGGAGCGCTGAACGGAAGTGAAAAAGGCTCAGTACCAGATCCAACGCCAAGCAATTCAAAACCTGACAGTAATGCAAAAGGTGAGGCTGTTCAATCAGTTTGGTCATATTTATCCTGCTCTTTGTTGAAATCTTGTTACTAGTGGTTTGATTGTGAGTGTTTTTCCTTAGAGAGTATACCTTTGTGCATAAGTTAGATCCAGAAAATGACATTCCGGGGCTCGACACTAACGGTAGCCAACTAGCCACAGACTAGTAGAAATTCAGTTTTGGTTAGTGGTTTTCGATTTCCACTAGCCAGTTTGGCCAGTAAACAAACTGAAATTGTCGTGACATCTAAGTTGTCACGAGCCACATGGCTAGTGAGTTGAAGAGTTAGTGTCGAGCCCTGCATTCTGTACCTGTATCTTGTGTCGATTTGTCGTGTGAGGGGTGGAGCGAGGAATTTCTGATGAGGGTGGGGTGTCCAAACTTTGAATCGTAAAACAAAGAATCTTCTACATCAGAGTCTATGTAAGCTAAAACTGCCATCCTACCGTTACAAGGATTTTGGCGTCAGACAGTTGATGAAAAAAAACCCACAGGACTCTGAGGATGGGGGTCTGAAACGTTCCCTCCCCCCTCCCCCCTCGATCTTCCATACCACTGTTTTAAATGCCATTGACTTTTACTTCCTCTGTAGTCCCGGGTAAAAGAGGACGTCAAAAGGCTGTAACCACCACAAAACAGCGTCTCGCTAAAATTCTCAAGCTGGACAAGAGTGGAAGATATATGAGATAAGGGCGAGTGCAGGGCGTAGAAAAAAACTAATGTTTACTTCAAAAAAAAGGAATGGCCAGAAGCTTTGATATATATATATATTTTTTTTTTACTTTGCATCGCTTTATTCAGGAACAGAGAAACCTTGGTTTTCGTATGTTACATATTCAAAATATTGTTTTAATGTTGTTGAAGAGTATTTTGAAAAGCCATTACCAAAAGATTTGCTGAATTACTTGTCAATTCCGGTGAGAGTACCTCTTGCTTTAGTACTTTCAAGGAGAATACTTTCTTCTTTTCGAAATTAAAAAGAGGCGATCTGAATCTCGGGTAATTCTAGTTTTTGGTGAGTTAGTTTAACGTACAAGTCGTCTAATTTTTCTCACGGCAAATACTTCAACAAAACGAGATAGTCAAATTGTCAATAACAGAAAAAGGAAATTGGAAAATATCTTTGTAAATAGAGTTTGGGCTGTATCGCCGGCAGTATTTGCGTATTTTTAAGATTTGTAACATTGCCAGATTTCATAAATTTGAATTAGCAGTAACATTTACAAATGGTGGAGAAATAGCAAGCTTTCTTAAAGTTGTTTATTTTTGTTTCGGAAAAAAAAAAACAACAACAACTCAACATAGTTGTAGTAGTCTTCGTTTCAGCCGCTTTTTTGGAAATGTCGTACTCCAGGAGGAGTGTTGTGTGACATCCTGGAGAACGGTTGCGAAGGAGGACATTTCTACAGCAGCCTTGATTCCTCATTCCATTAACCCTTTCACTCGGAAGAGTGACCAAAATAAAATTCTTCCTCGCAGTATCGAAACATTTACAAGCAGTAAGGTGATGAGAAGAAAGAAAAATAACCACCAATGTATATCTCTTGAGTTATAAGAAATTTTCAGAGCTGAAACCAAGGTTATTTAGATCCTTGTACTTATTTCGCGCTGAGCAATACCTGGGCTAATAGCATGTTATAGTAATTACGCGCATGGTGCCTAAAATCTTTTGAAAGAAGGGATGAAAGGTGAAATTGAGCTTTACCTTAGCCGTTTTGCTGTGCGAAGTGCTTTCAACTTTAACTGCTCTGCGGTTGAAACTTTAGTTAGAAACATTTAACTCAATTGTTCACTGAGTGGTTTTGTCCTAAACGTTTCTTCGACGAATCCAGTGTAACAATTCAGTTGAAGGCTTCCAACTCGTGAAAAACACGTCCTCGAAACTATCTTACATTTGTGTATTAAGGTGTAAGTTGCGTGAAAGCAAGCTTACAGATAAATTTGAAATTTTCCCTTCAGTCATTTTGTATCCCGCCTTTGGAATCTTGATTTCACATTTTGAATTTCTTTAGTAGTTTCGAGCCAACAACGATTTGCCAACAAAAATAAGAATTTTTAGAAAGATATGTATTTAATTGTATTTATACTTTATTTATAAGTCTGTTCGCAGTCTTGCTTGACTATGTGTGTTCAATAAACATGTTTTTAATTAAATTGTTTTGTCCTAGTCAATGACTAAGATGAAGTTGTCGAAAGCGCCAACTCCCTGCCAACACGGAGGTCAAACGTCGGGCATGCGCAAGAAGATCATTTCAAGCTGGTCGCGCGCCAAACTTCCCGCGCAAAATTTCAAAGGGATACACTAACACTAAGAAGCAACCGCTCTCTCGCAAAATAAGCGAAATAAGTGAAATAGAATTAAAACTCAAATAGAAATCTTTAAAAGGAAACACAGGTAGAGAAAAAGAAAGTAGAGACTTTTCAGTGTCAAAGTTCATTCAAGTGCAAGTATTTTGTCTGTTTTGAGCTTTATCAAAAAGTTACACGCTTTTAAAGCACCGTGGCTTGCTGGTTGTTGTGGTTGTATGAAACTCGTGTGCAACAACTTGGGTCTGACAGCATGAAACTAACGTTCGCACATCGCGCAAACGTTTGACCGCTGTGATGCATTCTCCCAACTCCCCACCCCCCTCAACCGCAGACCCTTTTGGCAGCATTGCGGATTGATAGCCTGCGTTCAACAGACTTCGCGCAGAAACTCTTCTCCTTCTAGGTCTTCTTTTATGACTTTTTTCTTTCACCAGCCAGTCATATGAGAGAAAAGTAACAGAGCGGATGGCACGCATTGTGCTTAACAAGGAAAAGTAAAGAGATTGGACTCAAAAACCAAGAGAGAGAGAAAGTCATAAATGGATCGAAATTCAGTTTTATGCAACAATAACTATGTTAGGAATAATACTCCGCACTGGGCATATCAATCTTAAACCTATTGGAGGCTAAAAACCATCGGAGTAACAATAAATTAAAGAGAAATACGAGGAAACGCAACAAGAAACTGAGGTGGGACAAAGACGACCAAGGAAGAAAAAAAATAAAACGGTTGCAAAACTGCGAAATCGGTTGAAAACTCTTGACTAAATTATTTTTAAGATGCACTAGCCAAGACTTGGCTCCTCATTTTCTAAATGGGAACGTTCGTCTGCACAGTTCCGAGTCGTTTATAAATTGTAACACAGACTGCACAGTACAGTCATAGGCAAGCTTTTGTTTTTTCTCCTTTTTCTCTTTTTTAAGTAATATTCATCATCGTGGTTTTCATCCGAATCAAAGTCTCAATCTGAAGAGTCATACGGGTTCTTACGGAATATCGTCGCATAATGCGAGTGTTCAAATTCCCAAAGCAAGCAACCTCCTTTATGAAAATTCTCTCTTTTGCTCTGGGCTATTTCACAAACGCCAATACTCTGCACATTTTTATTTTACTGTAAGTGTCCTTGGAAGGAAAGGTTAAAAATGTAAGATGATCTCTGCGATATGATTGTGTCGTACTAACAAAGGCACTCCGTGAAAGATTCTATGAAATGAGCACAGACTATAGGTAATAGTGACTAATCTCAAAGACAAAAAATTCAAATTGTATGCAGTTTCCTTCGATGTTAGAGATATTCGCGATACTATTCTGGCAGAGCGATGAGAGGCTTAAGATTCTTAGAAGTGGAATGACACTATTCATAATCTAAGGAGTAGTGAGTAATAATCTTAACCAATAGGCCATTTTACAGTTGTGTGCTTAGTTGCCAAGCCTTTGATTTGGAGTGAGGCTGAAGGTGACCTTGTTGTGATAGAGACCTTTATCCAGTTAGCATGATAACAAAGTGATTTACATTTGAAAGGCAGCAAGGTTTGTATCATGACAAGGTCATCCCTAGCCTCACTCCCATTCAGTAAAAGGCTTGGCAACCAAGCACACAACTGTAAAATGGACTATTTAATTTCATAGTTCATTTCCTTTGGTATACTCAGGTGTCAGCTCAACAGTTAATAATATCCTTTAAGAGACAGGACAACGTGAACATGCCTTATTATCATTATATATTTACAAAACAAAAGAACTGCCGATATTTGTGATTTTTTTTTCTTCTTTTTTTTTTTACTATGGGAGAACCCCTAGCAAGACGAAAAACCGGGAAATTCCTAATGAGATCCCTTTGTTTCCATTTAAAATGCCTTGAATTTTCAAATTTTTTTTCATTCCAGTAGCGAGAGAAGAAGGGTTTCGAGCAATGATTTGCTATCCTGACGAACGGTAAAGCAAGGTCTACTCTGCAAAGATACCTGTGTTTAATTAAAATGGCGTAGCTACACTTTCAATTCAGAAAGAGAAAAGCGCCTAAAGATGCAAACTAAATCAAATCATCACATCACAGAACGGTCAAATACATAGTTTTTTTGTTATCAAAGTTAGTTTGGGTCTGATACAAGTCCCTAGAGAACCGAATTTAACAGATGTATTCCGAGTCAACTAATTTGGAAATGTACGAGAGGAAAAAACATTACCCACGTGGAGTTATTGTAATGTTTTAAGTTTTGTCAAATATATAGTAATTTACAATAGCGTATTATTTCTTTTGAACATGTTTCGTTTCATGCATTAGATTTTTAACATTATTTTTGTTCTTAATTATGACGATCATTCCAAGACAAATTACATGGATTCAGTGGCGGATCCAGGGGGAGGGTCCGGGGGGTCCGGACCCCCCCCCCCATTAGACCTGA